ATAGAAATATGTTGGATGGCCTAAAAAGGACAATAAACATATACTGGACTCATCAGAGAAGGCTGAAAGAATGTGTACGTAACCTGAGCCTTTGAGTCGAGAAAGAGTAGTTAGCAGGCAAGGAATGGAAGGGCGTTCCAGGCAGGAGGAGTAACAAGAAAGAGATGAGAGAGCACAGGGAATGTGCAGGGCAACCGTGTCTGGGATGGTTACATCACAGGGATGGATCACAGAACAGAGGGTGAATGGCAATCGATGGGACTGGGGAAGTCGGCAGGGGTGAGGTCATGGAGCGTCTCATTCATGAAATCGTGGAGAGTTAGACTTCAAATAGGTAAGGGAGAGCTATGTTTAAGAAGACAAACACTTTAGGGAGAAGAATACTCAGGTTACGTTTTGAAGAAGGATGTGGGAATGGGTACAGGGTAGGCAAATGGAGACGAGGATAGTAAGTTAAAAGATCACTGTGGTAATACAAGCTAAAAGTGATGAGTAAGCCAATTGAGCACAAGGGAGAACGGGAGGAGAGGAAAACATTGAGGATTTGTCGACCTCAGCACTACTGACACTTTAAGCTAGATCTTTCCGTTGTGAGGGGCTGTCCTGAACTCAATATTGGAAAGAAGGCCAGCTGCTTTGGGTAAATAGGCTGTTTAGCAGCATTCTTAGCTGCTACCCATTAGATGCCAGCAGCAGGCCTCCTTCCAGTCGTGACAACCAAATATTTCTCCAGGAATACCAAATGTCTCCTGTGGGAAAAACTGCCCCCAGTTGAGATACACTGGTTTGGATATGCTGATATTTAAACAGAACAATTGGACTTGACTGTGTGGAGTCAGTGTAAAGTGAGGGACAGAATGCTCAAGGTTAATGTCAGAGTTGCTACAATGACAAACTCATGGGAAGAAAGAGAAGAGGTTTGCTTCTGGACACATTAGAGATACTTGTGCGACATCCTAATGGAGAGGCCCAGGAGGCAGCTGGATGGCTGGGTCTGTGCTCAGCGGAGAGATCTAAGTTAGAGACACAGATTGGGGAATTATCTGCATACAGATGGGAAGTAACACCATGGGAGTCAATGAGATCGCCCAGGGAAATTCGTGGAGTGAGAAGAGCACGAGGCAGAAAGTCTGGAGAGAACCAAGAGTTCAGGGTGGTAGAGGATTATTAAATCACCATTCTAACTCTCTGCAGTGAATGGGAAGATAAAAGAGAAGCATGTAACCCTATGTCCTTGTAGTCAGTAATGATCCTGGTGTCTTCTATGACCCAAGTGCAAGCTATAATTTAAAAAAGACAAAAAGGTGGGGGGAACCAGGACTATTTGCATGAGATGGTTAGTTTTCTTATTACACAGTCTTAAATGCATCATTTGCTGAATTTATTTTCTCTCTATGCTTTCCGCGCAAAACCAAACAAAATCAAAACCCCTTAAAGAGCCTCACAGCTCTGTTAGGATGAATGAATATCTCGAAATGCAGGGCTGCACTGAAAAACCCATCATGCATTTATTAGCAGTATTGTTTCACTACCTTGCCATCAATGTTCAAAAACAGTGCTGCAATTGAAGGCTCAGGGGAAATACAGAGCTTTCTATACAGAGATATTCTTGCACTTTTGATAAGGTTCTACAGTGATAATTCTTGGAGAAAATAAAATGTCATGAAGCAATGGACAAAGAAAAGCTTATGGCATAGAAAGCAAATCCAATCACAGGAAATAGTATCACTTTTGGCAGAAAGTTCAGATAAAGTGGGAAGATAATTTCCTAACAGGTGACAAGATTTCCATAGTCACAAAGCAAATTGCCTACCATGCCAATTACGGTGAAAAGTCTTGGACTTGGGCAATAGCTACCTGTCAAAAAGAAATTCGATATTGGGAAGCAAGCCAGATGCTTTGGGTAAATAAGTGATTACCTGAATGTAAGTTAGATACCTTGTGAGAACAGTAACTCTTCGGGCCAACAATGTATTTTGGAGGTTCACTCCCTACTAATGTTGAACATCTTCCGAAGGGCCTGACAAATCACACCGGCACACCTATTCAAAATGCAACTCTCACCCACCACGGTTCCGTCTGTGCATGGAAAGAAAGACAAACCAAAAGAAGTTCTTAAAATAATTTCCCCTTCTTACTTATTCATCAGAGGGCCTATTTGCCGTGTTTCTTTGCCGCACAGGATCCTGCTTACACAGCTTCTATAGGGAGCACGGAACGGCCTTTCCAGCTCCCGTCTGTCAACCTTCTCTCTCCCGCCCTTCGCCAACGTTAGAAAAGTTAACAAATGGATCTAATTACCACAGTGGTTTGAGGCTTCTCGACTTTTTTCCCTCTTCCAGCTGTAAAGATGTCCTCAGACTGAGCTTCACATTCAGAACTGCTGTCAAACTTTCACTTTAATGGGCACTTAAATTTAATGTCAAGCTGATGCTTGTGGAAGACCTTGATTAAATTTGTAAACAGACTCTAACCCAACCAGAACTTGCGAGTCATCTCATTTTGCCTTTCAAGCTTCAATCCCAGAAGTTTTGTTTTCTTCTTTGCAAGGAATTACAGAAGTTTTCTTGCAAAGGCCCTTAGTATCAGGAAGACAGCAAAGTTTAACAAGCAAAACACGCTGAATGCTTTTAGAGAGAGAAAAAAATCCCTCAGCTTATTAAAATTCTATATGAACAAAGGTTTTTTCCCATTGCTTTGTTTGGCTCCCTCTCCTTCAAAATCTATAACTATTCACTTTTATGACTATAATATTATAAGCAGTCCTAAAAAGTTCACTTAAAATCTTCCTAGTGTTCTTTTATGCACATTGCAATTGGGAGTTTTGTACTCTCTGGGCAGACTAAGAAACATTACAGAGAAACATGAAAGAAATATGGTAGAATCTTCACTAACAGTGTCATTGCTTTAAGCCACAAATTTCCAACCTAGTCTCTTTCCTCTGCTATTTCTTCTTTTGTCTCTGATAATCATCTCCTCCTTGAAGAGGTAATAACAAACTAGAAGTCACAAGACCTGGAAGACTCATTCTTTTTCATTGGCGACTGTTATGAAAAGAGGCTGCTGGTTTTTAATTTTTCTTTGGGGTTCTTACTACATCATCCAATTCAAACAGGTCTGCTTTCAAAGAAAACAAATCAAAATTGTCAAGACCTGTGAAGCATGAAAAATAAATTGCTTTTTCCCACTCGGAAAAGCACCAGAAAGGCATTAATTTCTGTCGTCTTATATAAACCTCTAACCCCTATCGTCTAATCTATAGACTTCACAAAATATTTATATATTCTTGTGTATAATACATGACAGGAGATCAAACCTTATTACAAAGAAATGGAACTTGTAATACCACTAATATTTAAACTAGTGTTATTTGGGAGTTTGACTAGAAACATATAAAACATTCAAGGGGGATGATCAATTCTTGGGGCTGCCAGTGTGAAATAAATAGTCAGCTAAGACACATCTACTGTGCTGCTAATGGCTCTGTCCTTTTTGCTGGTGGGAGCAGGCTTCATAAAAGAAGAACATGAGACAGGAGAAAAAGATAGCCTTGCAAAATGTTGCCAGATAGGCAATATCCTGTCATAAGATTTCTCATTGAACTACAGCGGTGAGGCTGCTTCGAATATTTCACTTCTTTTTAATACAACAGAGACCTACATTTCTATGCTTGGCTTTCTAAAGCTAACTTAATTCTGTGGTTAAAACAGCCCCATGCAAGCACTTGTTCTTAATATTAAAAAAAAAAAAAAGACTTGTGGTTTTGCCATTCATGGATAGAGTGGTAGGCCATCATCAGATTCCTGTTGAGAACTATAAATGATAAAAGGAATAGCAAGCAGATGGTTTCAGAAGGGAGAGATTTACAGGGGTAATTTGTAATGGAATAATACTATTTTCTGAACTAGGTGATAATCATTCATAAAGACAAGTAAAGGTTCAGATGGTATCTCCCTAAATTATGTATTACTAAGTATTCTAAGAAATCTTTGCTCAGCAGCCTGAACTAAAAACCTGATCAGCTGACATTTTTAGGTTCCAACGATCTGATCCTGTTTAAATCCTTTTCATATGGCTGTAGTTTTTCACAGGATTTAAAACGTGGTGCTTCCAACAATCCAGTTTTCTGAACACAGTGTTCTCTTTTCAATTTAGTTAATATCTGATTCAAGAGGATAAAGGGAAAGTACTTTTCTTCACCAGAAAAAGAGGACTGAAATAGACTAATATTTTTTTAAGTAACCTAAGGTAATAGGTGAGGAAGCATTACATTCCAGCCAGGATCTCTCTTCTGAGAGCCCAAATCCTCTGGGTGGGTGAGGAGAGACCACAGGGAGGCAATCAGTGAGATAAGGGACTCCGAGAAGACGCTGCTCAGTAATACGTACACAAAGCGCACCGCAAGGCGAGCGCGCATTAATCTAGTATGTCTAATCATCCACATTTACGGAAACCCAGTGCTGGCTCTGAAAGGAAGGGGTCACTACAAATATCAGAGTATTTATTACTGAAGTTAATGAATTTACCAAACCTACTTGGTAACTCACAACAACCACAGAAGCAGTTAAGTTATGGAAGTTGGAGGGTGGAATGAAGAAACACTTCAGACTTTCCTTACAACCTTCTACTTTAGGAATTGTCTGCTCTTCATGAACCCACCCCCGGAATGAATGGAAAATGACAGCAGATAAGGGTTACCATCATTTTATATACCAAAGAACTTCTATTTGTTAATTCCATAACTGGCTCCACACATTCTGTTTCTCTTAATTCCTGAGTGACAATTCATTTCAGTAGTGTTTGCTGACACTCAAAAGGAGCAAAAATTCTCCTTGCTGATGTGGAATAACCAATGGTCAACTCAAAGAAAAAAAAAAGTTTCAAATCTTGATTGGTGATTGACGTGTTGGATATTGCAAAATACCACTTTAAAATTGAGATAACGTCTAATTTGTTATGACATTATATGACTCTTGCAATTACACACAGATACACTCATATACATTTTGATATTTATTAACAAAAATGGTCCAGAAAAGGGTTGGCTCAAAATTACAGTTATAAGGGTTAAAAGTTGTTTTCAGTTGTATTGTTTCTAGGGGACTGTAACCAGTCTAGAAAGCTATTTTATCTCCTAAAACAGGACTTAAATCACACTGTTTAAGTGTTGTATTTCAAGAGAAATTCTTCTTCTTCCTTTTTGTCAAAGCAAAATACAGTGGAGGTCTTGGTTTTCATCTGCAAGCCTGCTTTCCTATGGTGGATTTCCTAAGAACATGGATGGATTGGGGTGGGATGGGAAAGTGGGAGAAGTTAGACAAAAAGGTTAAAAAACAAAAAGGCAAAAATGTTAAAGTGAGAACTGAACGCTAGTGAGGAAAAAGGGTCACTAAATGCCCAAGAATCATTCACTGAAATAATCCTCTAGTCCCTCCATATCCATTTCCAGAGAGGAATTTAGAGAAGCCAGAGCAGATGACGCATCCTTGGTTTTCTGGACACTTGGTTTGGGTTGAGGAGTTTCCGGTTGGATGAATTCCTTCTTGATGTCTTTACCACCACTTAGAATCTTTTGGCTCTCGATAAAGAATTGATTAGGATGATTCAATGAAAAGCCACAATCATCAACCTGTACGGGAAGTGAATGTGTATTGTGTTAATACATAGCAAAAGTATAAATAAAAGGGCTTCTACAACTGTCCCAGACCTCATTCAACATCTACTTAATACCTGAAACATGGATCCTAGCAGTTCTCATTCATAGCACTCAATCCACTACTTACATTTCATTCAGAGGGAGCTTCACCACTACCTAAACATTAGTGACTCATGCATTTATATTTCCAGCTCAAATCTTTGCACTTAGCCCCAGTTCACTATCCAACTAGTTCCATATCCAGTTCCTACTCAGCATCTTGGATGGCTCCAAGGCATTTCTAAGCAAAATCCCTGGCACATTGTCAGACAGTAAATATTTGCTGTTAAAAATGGAGGATCTTTAAATATTCCAGAATCATAGGGAACGGATATAAACACAGACACCATTTTGATACTGGTCCCTGATACTTCATATATATATTAGAGCTTATTTATAAGTCTGGCATAGGTAATCCCATTTAGTATTAACACAAACTCTGAAAAAGCAATCTAATTTAATGTAATTCCTTCATTCCAATCTTGGGCTTTTTCTGATCTTACTTTGTATAGAAAATCTTTTTCTTTTTTCTAATTTTCATTGTTGCTTAATGTAAACATAACTAGGTTTATAGTTTTATGCTAATTCTTTTCTCAAATACTATCACTAAACTTGAAATTAAATTTTGAATGCTATTTCAAATTACCCATTACCCTGTGCCTTTAGTACTCAATGAGCCTTTGAGGGTATCAATACTTTCTTAATTTGAAGATTCAGCAAGCACTATTTTTTCTACATTTGGATTCTAAAATTTACTAATGGTGAACAAAAATATATTCCTTAATAGTAGCAAACAATTAATTATTTAATTCCTACTCTGTGCCAGGCTCTGTCCTAGGTGGCATAAACACACATGCTCATCCAGATGTATACACCCCATTAACTGCCATAGGAGCCCTCTGAAGGTAGATTATCAATATTTTCCCAATTTTTCAGATGAAGCATCTGAGAAAGAGAGAAATTAAGTAACTTGCCCGAGGTCACACACTGACAGGGCTGGAGACAGAATACGAATTAGCGGAGTCCATACTCACAACCAGTAGAATATGTCCTGCTCCCTTGTTCTTTTGCCAAGGTCAATTATTTCATATTGCATTCATCCCTTAAAACTCGTAAAGCTTTACTATCTCTTGGTGCTTCCTATTGGGGTGTGGCATAAGAACAGAACACTTACAAGGAAGTTTCTCCTGAAGTGTGAACCTCCTGCCTGGGTCACTTTCTTCACATTCCACCAATTTGTCAGACTGAGTTAAATCACTTGAAACTCTCAATCTAATTCAAATCCCTGCCCTCTCTGCCTTCTACAGTTGGACTTGACAACAAAAAGGAAACCATTTTGCTTGAGTTAGTTACTCTGTTGTTTTCTTGTTAGGGGGTATTTTCACTTCATATTTTTTTTATAAACTGAAAAGCCATTATACTTCTTTTGGTCACTGTCTTATAATTATCAACCTTTTTATGTCTCACTCTTTGTACTGACAGGACTTGCATACAGTAGATATCTAATAAATACTTGGTGAGTTGGACCCAGAACTACCCAGTGTATGCCAGTCATATATTTCACATATTAACTGAAGACTTAATACCTATAAGGCCACGTTATAAACTGTTTTTCAGCATACAAAAATGCATTTGATTAAGACTAACTCTAAATAATTTTCCAGTCTACTAAGTCATAGCCTTCAAAACCTCTATCAAGAATGAAGAAATGGTAAGGGTCACAGATAAAGGCCCATTACACTCTACATTAGAGAGAAATTCTGGCTGGGGAGATCAAGGAAGGCTCTGTGAGGGAAGTGCTCTATGAGTCGGGTCTGGAAAGATAGACAGACTAAAAGCTGGGATAAGGAGGTCAAGGGCAATACAAGCAGCAGGACCCCACAAGCAAGGTAAAGAGGGCATGTCCCTGGAAAGCAAGTAGTTCAGAAAGCCTGGTGTGAAAGGCACATAAAGGGGAATAACAGGAAATGAGGTTGGAAAGACAGGCTGGGGCCAGACCTTGAAAACCAGGGTAAATAGTCTAGACCTAATTCTGTAGGCAACAGGGAGTCACTAAAAATCCTTAAGGAGGGACATGATGTGATTAAAGCTGGGTAATCTTATGGTAGGTTAAAAAGGATTTGATATTATGGTCCAGAATAAACCCTCTTAACAGGTGAACCAATAAATAAAAACAAGGTTTTTTCTGGTAATACTTGAGTACCCCAGCATTCTCTGATTCTCTTCCGTCAGTTGCTGATACATGTTGGGCTGATAATGTTACAGTAACTTCAGGGTACAGCAGGTTGATAGTATACAGAATGATTTAAGAGTTATTACTCAGATGACTAAGAAAAATTTATTATCTGCTATTTGCTACTTAATTTCAAAATGTTTCATAAATATTTTGATACATCTATAATTTTATTAATGATAAAGTCATTTGTAAACTTCTTGATTATATTCATTTTCATCCAATTCACTAAAAACTGGACAATCTAATATAAAGTTTGCATTTTGCAAAGTGTTTGATGAAAAGTAAGTTTATTGCCTACCTCATTTCAATCAGATGGTTTTATATTTTATAAACAGAGAACATTATATTGGAAAGAACTTGGGGATCCTTTAAGTTGAACTTCCTCCATGAACAGACAAGGAAATTGAGGCCTAAAAAGATTCCATGGTTTATCAAAGTCACAGAACTAGTAATTGGTTTTGTCTGAATTATAATTCCGGCCTTCTAACTCAATCACTTGCTTTAAAATTTGTTTTAAGAGATTTCATACAAAGTCAAATAAATGCACAATCATCATTATACATATAATATGATTTCTAGAATTAAACTTGGCTCTAAAGATTATAAAAAAAAAAGTTCATGCAAAAAGAATCTAGCACCATGTGCTGTAATTACATATTAGGGATTTTCTACACCTTGCTTCAAGTTGTTAAAATTTTCAATACATCTATCCAGGGAAGATGACTCTCTGGATTAAACGGAATTATTAGACTGTAGTGTGGACAAAGAGAAATATGGTGATCTTTAAAAGCCTCAGATTCCTCACCAATGAAATGGAGATAACAACACTGGCTATACGATAGGGTTGCTATGGGGAGAACCCAAGAAATATAAATGTACAAATAGTTATTGGGTCTGTGATATCTAAATTAAATGCTTTGCAAAGACTCGAGAAAGGCAAATCACTTAGAAAAAGAAGTTGAATTGCCAAAAGATAGGGAAAAAGATTACGTTGCTTTGCATGTATCTTTAAATTCCTTTTCACTTTAAAGAAATCCAAACTGAAACTTGGTGGTGATGGATTTTGGGTATAGCTTATGAAAAAAAGATGAAATTGAATTAGAATCCCCAAACTATACTCAAATAAAAAAGAGTGCCCTTACATCAAAAGATTAGAAAATAAATGACATTTAAATATTTTAACTTTAAAGCATTTGAGAATGCTTTTTTATGAACCCCCATTTTCATTAATGTTCTTATTAAGCAACTAAAACAGTGCCAAGTCTTGAAATGAGGGCCTATCCCACAGTTCTGTGTGATGTTTTTCAAATTTCTCCCTAAGGTCTACAATTGCTCTTTCTTAACTCATTTTGTTAAGATCCTTTTACTGAATTTATGTTCTATTAAAAGTTGCTTGACAGCATGATGAAATTATGAAGAGTTTCCTTCTGTTTATTGGATTGGATTTTCTTCTAGGATAGGTTCTTTGTCTTTTTAGTGTTTCTTTCCTTTTATTTTTAGCTGTAGGAAGTGTGCAGAATGTCCTGCAATAAATCATCTCGCTATATCATTGATGAGATGCCGTAAGTTCAAACCTAAATATTGTTTATATCCATTAGCCTATGGTCAAATTGTTTCACTTAAACTTATACATTTTGTTCCAAGTCACAGAACCTATTGACAGGATTAAAAGAGGACTTATTATATATGGTAGACATTCAGTTTCCTTTTATCTTGCTCAGGAAAATAAACTTTTTGGGGGTGGAAGGGCAGGAGCATAAACCAAACAGAATGAAAATAGAGTTTGCTTTAAATCAAATTATAGAAAAGAATATAGAAAGAGAATTACCCCTATTTAATTTATTTCTGCTTGGGAGTCAGTAGCTGTTTTCTTTACTCATTAAAAAAAAAAGTATAAGAATATTCAATTTGCTTCATTCTACATTTGGAAATGGTGAGAATTTTCACAATTTTGCCTGCTGAAAATCGGTTTCTTTCCTTGCCTTTTTTCTTGTTTGGTTGCTATTGGTGATGTTTTTCTTTGTGGCTGATGATTTTTTGTTATGTTTTGTACATTTTGTTAAGTATTGGGAGAGGGAAATTCCATAATGCCTTTTCATTCTGCCATGTTAGCTTGGAATTCCCAGAGAACTGTAAAGGATCTGAAACAAGATCAGTCGAACTGGAGTCTAGAAGAAAAGGGATGGGGTGGAGGACTCTAACGGCTACATTAGAAATTTTGGATTTCTTTCATCTTAAGAGGGATCAAGAAGCCTTTTAAGGTTTTTAAAAAGTAGATGACCAAACGGTCAGTTCCCTCTATTTAAAGATCACTCTACCAGCGTATGGAGGAGAAAGAACTGAATGAGTCGTAGATGCTGGAGAATGCGTCAGGAAACTACCACAGAGGTCCAAGTGAGGAATGATGGTGGCTGCTAGCCCAGTGTCCTGATATTTGTAATAATGACCTGGAATTAATGTAACAAAAGTTTAACTGCATTTGGTATATGTATTAAAATTGCAGGAAAATAAGTGATAGATTTTAACAAGATTTCTGTGAGATCTATATGGTGGGAAAAAAATGTATACTCAACTATTTGCAAAGTGTCTAGAATGACTCAGTACCTATAGAGGTCTATTTCTAAAGGGATTATTTTCAATTAAAATTCAGAGCCTAGCATTTTCATTTACACAGGAAGTATGCTGAAAGAAAAATATA